AAAAGCATCCTTTTCCATTCAACTGCTAATATCTCTGGAACTACTGGTCGCACAGCAAGCGGGCGCCGAGTTTCTTTATCTGCATAAAATTTCCAATTAAGCACAGTCAAGAGTTAGTGAAGAAAAAAATTTTTTCCACCTGTAACATTGAATTGAAAAAAGTGGAAAAAAGTGACTTTTTCTCCTTTTTTGGTTACTTGGCTGTATCTTCGCTAATATGGGCGGGAAAGCTAAGGTTTGAGGAAAATTTTACAGTCTATTGTTCCTTAAAGAACTCCCTAAATCCCTGGAGCGATCGGTTCAACGGTTTTCCCGGACCAATTGATTGAAATTTTGGAAAAAATAAGGGAACAAGGTTTTTGTCCCTTAAACTCACCCTAATCCATTCAAAAATCAATAATTTCATTTGTTTTTCACTATTTACTCAATTTTTTGTTTTTTAAAAATTCATTATCAAAAAAAATCGAAAAAAATCAAGAAAATTTTTAAGAAAAATTTTTTTTTGAAAAGTCGAAAAAAGTTTACAAAAAATTTTTTTTTCGTTTTTAAGGAAATCAAAGTTTTTGACAAAAACTTTGATTGATGATCGATTTACCGCCGGCATTAGCGTTACCCAAAGCATACCACGTGGAGGTTGCACGGTCGGATTTACGCTTCTTTTGTGCTTACGCACGTGTTTATGATATGGGATTCTTCAGAAAAAATGAGACCCTGTGGTTCGTCAGCTCCGCAGTATTTCGTGACTCCAAACTCATTTTCTGAAGAGTGTGTGTGTTAGTGTTGTGTAAGTAATTTTTAGAAGAAATGAGACCCCGTGGTTCGTCAGCTCCGCAGTATTTAATGACTCCAAACTCATTTTCTAAAGTGTGTGTGTGTGTGTTTCTCCGTGCAACCTCCACGTGGTATGCTTTGGGTAACGCTAATGCCGGCGGTAAATCGATCATCAATCAAAGTTTTTGTCAAAAACTTTAATTTCCTTAAAAACGAAAAAAAAATTTTTTGTAAACTTTTTCGACTTTTCAAAAAAAAATTTTTTCTTAAAAATTTTTTGATTTTTTTCGATTTTTTTTTGATAATGAATTTTTAAAAAACAAAAAATTGAGTAAAAAGTGAAAAACAAATGAAATTATTGATTTTTGAATGGATTAGGGTGAGTTTAAGGGACAAAAACCTTGTTCCCTTATTTTTTCCAAAATTTCAATCAATTGGTCCGGGAAAAACCGTTGAACCGATCGCTCCAGGGATTTAGGGGGTTCTTTAAGGAACAATAGACTGTAAAATTTTCCTCAAACCTTAGCTTTCCCGTCCATATTAGCGAAGATACAGCCAAGTAACCAAAAAAGGAGAAAAAGTCACTTTTTTCCACTTTTTTCAATTCAATGTTACAGGTGGAAAAAAATTTTTTCTTCACTAACTCTTGACTGTGCTTAATTGGAAATTTTATGCAGATAAAGAAACTCGGCGCCCGCTTGCTGTGCGACCAGTAGTTCCAGAGATATTAGCAGTTGAATGGAAAAGGATGCTTTTGCATTCAAAGTTCGATATCTCGGAGACAAATGGTCGTAATTGAGCCATCCAAAGCGATTTTTGAAGCTGAATAAACACGCTAAAAGACCTATATAATGGAGTAGCTCGAAAAAATTTTTCCATGCCCATAGAGTGAAAAACGAAACCTAGAAAATTTAGAAAAAAAATATTTTCAGCTTTGTTTAAGAATTGCATGGAAACCGGAGCTCAAAAAAATTTTTTACCAAAAAATCTGAAAACTAGAGTTTTCAAGCTTCAAAACCCTTTTTTTAAATTTCCTGTACGATTATTTTTCACTGAAATACAGCCTGTTGAAAATCACCCAAAAATTTCAAAAATTTTTATGTTCCCTTAATTTTTGCGAGGAGTGTATTTAATGACAAAATAGATATATTTTTAAAATGTTGTACAAAATTTGTAAGTTTGTATATATATATATATGTGGTGATATATATATATATATATAACTATAAAAAAAACCATATATATATATTAGTAAAAATAAAAACAGATATATATATATATATATATACATATATAAACTATATTATATATATATATTTGAATCTTTCACGTTGTTTACACATTTTAAATACACAATCGGGAGTTAACGCGATGAAAAATCTTCGCTTGTAAATAGTACACACATACCTGTTTCTTTATTGCAGATGTTTCGACGTGGATGACACCATGTTGTGACCACCATCGATTAGGTTTTCATTGTGTATTTAAAGTAGTAAGTTGTATTACTAAAACTATAAAAACTAACAAAATTCAAACTACTGAACGGATTTAAATGAAATTTAGAGACACAGATAGGTTTACCAGAGGGAGACTTTGTATAAAAGTCGATTGCTTGGGTACCTCTGTCCTATTCGTGTTTCAACCACGAAGCAGTTGTGTTTGCATGGCTGTGTTTCGGTTTGAAGGGTGGGATATGGCGTGAATTTACAGGGTACAGAGGAATAACAACTAAGTCCTTAGGAATGGCAACGCATGTTGCTATTATTCAACGTCAATAATAGCAATATGCGTTATCCCAAGTCAGGACATAGGATACTTTATAAACTGATTCATGAATCAGACGATGAAGTCCATATAGGTTATATATATATATATATATATATATATATTTATTATATATTTATAAATGCGAAAGTAAGTTTGTTATCAGGAAATCGTAATGAAATTTAATATACATACATTGGAATGATTTTGGAATAGAGACCATTCGATAAATTTTATCCCGGTCGATTAAGATATCCCAGGAATGCGAACGAATTTGCAGATTAATATTAGTATATACAATCCATACTAATTTATTGTTCCGTGCGAAGTTGGGGCAGATCGATAGTATGTTATAAATTGTTAATTATTTTGTATTTCCTATCCAGGGACCATTTGAAAACATAACATAATTTTGTTTAATTCTTTGTTAGTATGAAGCCAATATAATACATATTGATTAAACAAATATAAAATAAAGCAACGAAGTAGCGCTTCGTTTAACTCTACATTCAAAGTATTTCCCTTTGATTAATTAGCAAAGTCTTTGTATTTATTGAAACCTACCAAGTTCACAATGAAATCAATGTTTAGAACAATATAACTGTACTTATATATTTTTAAATATTGCTGATTTTGAAACAACTTCAAAAAGAAGTACGTTCTTTTTTTGCTTGTATTTTTTTTATGTTTGTTACCTCATAATTCCGTCAGTTCTGAATCGATTTTGAACATTCTTTTTTTTTGTCTGAGAGAATAAACATACAGATTAGTTCCTTAGATATTTTATTAAAATCTTATTAATCAATACTTTACGTGAATATGTGACCGAGTTATGAAGTAACAAACAAAAAAGTTGTACTGCATTGGGAACCTCCTTTTTTTAAGTTAGTTGAAAGTAATTTGCAAGTAATTGTGGTAATATTGCATAATATAATAAGCAAGATGAAGTGGTAATGAGCTGGTCACATAGCTCGAAGAACCGACAATCGATTGGGAGAAAAAAGATTCTTGAGTGGCGATCACATACGGGTAAACGCAGTGCAGGACGACCCCTCACTAGATGGAGTAACGACCTGAAATGCGTTAGTGGGGGAGTTAGTGGATACAGGTGGCTCAGGACCGTTCTTTATGGCAGTCTATGGGGGAGGCTTATGTCCAGCAGTGGAGGAAAATGGCTGAAATGATGATGACGTGGTAATACTCTTATCAAGCTATGATGGGAAATTTTGGCAAAGAAATATTTGAAAAATTACAAAGCAAAATATAAAATAGGTGCAAAATTTTTGGTGGTACATGCTGTGGATTTAAGTACACACGTTTTAGTTCATTAGGAGATCACGTTTTAAATAAAAAGTCATAAGCATTGGAAATAGTTTAGTTGTTTACGAAAACTGACAGATAACTGTAACGTTGCAACGTTGCAACGTTTCGGTAAGCTGGAGTATGAATCCTCTTAAGTCCAATTTACATTACAAACCCAGAGCCGCGGAACTAGTTTCATGATATTTCATTATGAATAAACCTCTAATTACATTATGAATGCATTAGTTTCACGTAACGAAAACCCGTTTCGGAAAAAGCAGCACTTTTGAAAGCTAGTTTCGTAATGTAATTAAAATTTAAAGGATAGTGTAGAACATGGCGACAAAGTATGGCAGCTACTGACAAAAACTTCTTATAGGAGAGGCATATGTTCAGCAGTGGACAGTTAACGGCTGATGGTCAGAACATGGAAATGATTATTGTCCAATCTCTGTGTAACAATCAATCTCTGTGTAAATATCAATGAAGTTTCCTCAGTTATTAATTAGTATTATGTATTGTTATAAATTTATGCTATTTTTTTCATTTATTTTACAAATTTACTGACTGTAGTAAATTTACATGTGTTGTACAATGTATCTAACATTCAAGTAATTGTAAGTAATTTTATGGTTCTTTCAATACAAAAAAAAAATAAATTCCCATATTTTTGGAGTAAAATATTGATTTACTGAATTTATTAAATGTTATATTTTGATTAAAAATATCGATTAATTTAGTCCAAAGGTTCGATTATTCGATTAATTCATCTCAGAGCGCCATGCTTATTTTTAATAACAATAATATAAAATAAATGTAATCGGTATACAGCTTACAAAGATATTATTTCATTCACACTTTTATTAGTGCATGTTTTTCTATATTGTACATATCATATTAAAATGAATGAATCAATGAAATGAACATTTGAAATCGATTCATAAATTATCAAATTTGATTTCTTATTTGATTTCTTCTTTATGCAACGGAAAGTGGTAAGCGTCGTCTATGAACAACGCTATTGACAGTACAGAATGTACTGTGACACCCATGATAAATTTGGTTGCCCTTTAAACTGAAATATAGAACAGTTGAGAGAGGTATCCAAGCCGACGACGTTTGTGTGAAGTGTGGTATTTAAATAAATTAATTATTTGTTTCAGAATCAGAAATGGCTCAGATCTACGTCGTAGTCACGATAGCGGCAGTACTTGTCCTGTCTCAGGGCGTCAGCGCGAAACGTAAGTCATACAATTTAATCTTATTATTATTATATATATGAATTATACAAATAACAGAAACATACTATATATAATATACCAGAAATTACACAACCTTTTATATTAGCCACGAATCTCTAACTGCAATTTCGTTCACGCACGTTTTGTGATACACGTTTCACGAAGCATCTTATTATTATCAGGCACATTATTATATCGCTGCTCGGAGTTTAGTGTTTACAGTTCGATACCCAAACTGCGAATTGGAAAATCGCGTAGGTTTTTTTTATAGGTGATAATGAAATAGTAATCCCACCCGCGCTATCGGTATACGCTGATAGGGCACCAGTGAAGGCTGATAGATGAGGATGAAACAGGTCAGTTAGCCCATCGTGACGAATTCAACGAGAATTGTTCACGATGGTTTCCAGGGTGGATCACGTGGAGGTTTACCTGATAGGCCATATTGCTAGCAATGGGGCTATCAAACTCCATTGCTAACAATCCCTTCCCCCTTAATCGCGTAGGTTGGGTGCTGAACTTCTAGTGGTAATAGTGGTGGCCAATCTTCGAGTGTTGGCAGTAACACACATACTAATGGTTGCGGATTCAATAAAATAATTTAACCAAATAATCAGTGATATGGACTTCCGTAAGATAATATCTACTACAATAAAATGTATTACATTTATTTAAAAGATTAATTTTCACGGTCAAATGTAAATTATTTATTTAACTGATATTGTATTTAAATACGCCTCCTGCTGAGGTCGTGAGGGTAGTACATGTCGACACGTCCACAATTGATTTTTCATTTAGCACTTATATATTTTTACTGACATTAATAGTAGATAGATAGATAGATAGATACTCTTTATTGTTTCCTCCAAAAGATTACAATAGTAAACTTATTATACATATAAATAATTACAAGATAATAATAATTATTAATAGTAATTAATAAGTATTTATTTTTTAATTTATTAATCTTTAATAAATCTAGAAAGTGTAAATGGCGGACTTAACACCATACGGCGTTATCTAGTTTTTTTTTTTCATTTGAGAGTTTCCTCTTGTCGGTACAACTAATTCATGCATCTTCTTCCAGCCAGCTCTATCCCAGGCCATATTCTTGATCTCCCTATACGACATGACACCTAGTGTTTCTTTTATCTGTCCCATGTAGTTATTCCTCGGTCTCGCCTAGTAGTCGACCGTAAATAGCAAGCTGAATAAGCAAGCTGAATTGGTAATAATAAATAAATATACAGTCAAATCACACAGATTGAGCTAGCCCCAAAGTAAGTTCGAGACTTGTGTTATGGGATACTAACTCAACGATACTATATTTATAATAGATACATATATAGATAAACATCCAAGACCCAGGACAATCAGGAAAAGATCGTTTTCCATCATGACCTGGCCGGGGATCGAACCCGGGGCCTCCTCGTCGCAGGCAGGCGTGTTGACCGCTGCGCCACGGAGGACGACAAATAGAAATTGACGGTGTAACGTGATAAGCAAATAAATAGAAGAACAAAAACAATATTAATATAAAACAGTATTTTAAAACGTAATAAAAAATATTAAATTAAAACATTAAATATGTTTTAAACATTTTTTTTTTGTAAATGGAGTAGTTTAATTACATGTAGGTATATTTCTCACAATATTTCATAAAATTTCAAACATAACTCCTTTCTCGTGAGTGTCGTAATAGGCGACTAAGGAAATTTAATGGTCGAGGAATAGGCAGCAGTTTTTTTTTTAATATCACAAAATACGTTGTAGTTATTAACCCTTCTTTGCATAATGGTGGAAATTTCCATCATAACATTGAATGCCTAAAACTTATATAAAAGACCAAGTTCACTTTAAGTTGATTGTGTTTGGATAACTATTTAATGTCCATTGCAGAAAAAAATATAGCTGTAAAATTTTTTGTTTTAACCATTTTTCCTTTAATTTTAAACATTAATTATATCACTTTGATTACATGACTTTGATTTTGATTTTACCAATAAAAATATCATGCAAAGAATGGTTAAATACATGAAATAGAACAAAATGTCGGATATCGCTATCACGTTCTATCTCATTCGTAAGGTAACGATCTCATAGATAAAAAAGTGACAAGTGCATCTATCGATAGACGATAGATGCACTTGTCACTTGTTTTTACGGGGTCCGTTTATTCTCTTACCATACAACCTCAGAATTGTAGTTTATTAACTAGATTTGTTTCAAGATATGTACAGGCCTCGTCACTTCAAACAAAAAAAAAAGTTTGTATGAATACTGTGCAACCATTTAATTAGCTTGTTTACCATTTTAAGTGTTATAAAAAAAATTGAGAGCAGTGTCGACTCCTAAATTACGTAATCATTACTTACTCTGTGGAAATGTCGGGAAGTGTCTATTTATATCACTATGGATATAGAACAGAATATTTTGAATGTATGAAATGTATGTATTAAGGTTAAGTTTGTACAAACGTATGTACAAACATTCGTACAAACTATCGTTCAAAGAGTTATGCGAGTTCAAGTTATTTCAGCTATCGTAGTGCTAACCAACTTTGTACAAACAAGATGTTGTTTATTTAATAAGTCTTCGCTATTGCTCTTAATTGTTAATACCTATAACTTAATGTCTGTTGTTCTTGTACAAGTTGGCTGTTTGAATTTGAGGCCAGCACCGGGCGTTTGAACAAACCAAGCGCTACCAATGTTTGTTGATAAGCCTACACCTTGCTTAGCAACCACCTACGTTCTAAGTATTTTAAGTTCATAAACAAATTGTAGACTCTTAAACTTTGCTGATACCTTACATTATACAGATGGAGCAGCGAGTATCAAAAGTGAGTAAAAATTTAGTCAACTATTTGGACATTTGGCTGAATTTTTTTTATCAAAACAAATCGAGCTATATTTTCAGTTGTGCAAGTTATTGAATAAAAAATCCCAGGTCAGCAGATCTTCTCTTGAATCCAATATATTGTCAATTTCATATTGCACTCATTAAACGAAAATTTGGGATTACGTGCGAATAGAATCGATTAACATTAAAAATTTGCACTAATATCCATATATCAGGACAATATGGAACCATTATGTGGCTAGTATTGTAATTTGAAAATGCAAAACGTCTTAATTTTAGTATTAATCTATTGGAATTTATTTTAAGAGTAACCCCTCAAGTCGTTTTAAATTTGGATATTTAATTAGTTTTCAAAGTCCACGATATATCGCACAAGGAAAAGTATCAACATCATCATGTCAACCTTTAACTGTTCACTGCTGAACATAAGTCTCCCCTTGGGGGTTTTGCAAGTAGTTGCCACGCTTGGCCGAGAGTTAGCCGACTAAGAGACAGCGAGGTATGAGCAGCACCGTCCCCCTTAAAACATCTCTAAAGCCTAACTGCGGTTGTCAATCCGCCTACCAAGCGTGGCAACTACTCAAAAAGTGGCAAATCTCCCTCAAGGGGAGACTTATGTTCAGCAGTGGACAGTTAAAGGCTGATATGATGAAGTAAATTATACCTCTAAAAAATAGCTGTTCACCGGTGTGTACGTGTTCACGAAAGAATCGTGAGCACGTACATACCGGTGAACAACGAGGTATATCGTAGATACATTAGATTAATTAAAAAATGCAACATAATTTAAAAAAAACAAAGGAAGATTTATAAAAAAAAAAAAAAACTAAAGCAATACGCATGTCCTTAAGTGTCAAAAAAGAAACTGAACTTAAACTGTATAAGAATTTATTAAATTATGACCAATCTCAATAAGAAAGTGATCATAATTACGACTATGTCATACGATTCTATTTTAGACATGATTACTGTAGAAAATATGCGTAATAAACTGATTTTATATTATCATAAATATTTATCATTACATACATTTGTAAGCAATAAAAATGTTACAACTTTTTAGATGGGATGGCATAATGTACTTTTGTTTTTGTGTGCTCGTATTGTTGCATAGGTAAGGAAATAATTTTAGATTGTGTTCCATAAACAAAAAGAGACTTCAATTCTGGCAATACCAGTTATTTCGATTTAAAACTATATTATTGAATCTCATTCGATGAAAATTTTTATGCGACCAAACAGAAAATATATTCTTTCAGATAAAAAATCTAAATCGGTTTATAACTAACTGAGTTATAAAACAATAAATATATTAAAAAAAAAATATCCAAATTGAGAACCTTCTTTTCAAACTACTTCAAATAATTAAGCTTGTGATCCACAAAAAAACCTAATTACAATTGAGGCAAAACATAGTAACAATAACTGTATTAAAGAATCAATAAATAAATAGCTGTAGAAAAATATACTATGTATTAAAGTAATTCTAAAAAACAATATAGTTTTAAAAAAATATTGAGATTGTTTTCAAGGTATAATGAGCAAACGATAACTGCCGCCAATCGGCCGGCACTCACAACTTTACAGAAATTATATGGTATGTGTGTTACCATTTGTTTAACAATATGCTCTATTCTTTAAAGTTTCATTAATAATTAAGATGGGTAAGGTTTTTAATAAAATAAAAGCAGAAAACATTGCTATCGGCCATGTTAGGTTAAAAATGACTCAGAGCGAATAACGGAACACCTCAGAATATATAATAATATGTCCATTACTTTTCGTGACCTTGTACTTTTAATATGATAACATGTTTCGATTGATTTTTGCATTACATATTTAACTTTGGAATTATGTCATAAATATCGAATACGAAGCTGTCAACGCCATCTACGGATATCAATAATGATAACTCGAAAAAAACTTATCTCGATGATTTTCTTCGTCGCATGCAGTTGATTTGCGTTTCGCGCCCATTTCAAAGTATTTGAAAAAAATTAAATCAGCTATCCACTGCTAAATATAGGCCTCTCCTATATGGAGGGGTTTGCCAGTTATTGCCACGCTTGGCAAATAGGTTGGTATGCGCAGTTAGCCTTTGGTAATGTTTTAAGAGGGACGCTACTGCCCATCCTTCGTTCATTAAGTTCCCTTAGTCGCCTTTTACGACACGCACGGGAAAGATTGAAGAAAAATAAAGTAATTAGTGTGAGTTCTTAATTTATTGCTGAAATATATAGTTTAAAATAAAAATTAACAGACATTGTTGACGGGGATTACAAAGTCTGTCATCATGCCTATTCATATGAAGACAATCTTCATGTAATCTATTACTTGAACGATTCATACCAGCCGGGAGCATATTAGACGGAACGTGTACTATCTTCATCTTACTTTGATGCGTGTAACACAAAAACACGCATCGGAATTACAGGATTTGGAATGAGCTCCCTGATGACGTTTTCTCTAGAGACTACAGTATGGAGTTCTTCATAAAGGATGTATTAAGGTTTCTTCAGGGTCGGCAACGTGCATGTGACACCCCTAGTGTTGCAGGCATTCATAGGCTACAATGACCGTTTACCATCAGACAGGCTGTATGCTGGTTGGTCAAGTTTGTGGTATAAAAAAATTTTGGTTCTTTATGTATTATAAAACTTTATGGCTCGCCTATAGAAGTTTCGGGTATTGTATTTATATATTGATTTAAGATTTAAAACAACTACTAAGTACCTATAATTTTTCTTATTTCAATGAGAAATCATCATCACTATATCAGCCTTTAATTGTCCAATGCTGAACATTGGCCTCCCCGTAAAGATTTTGTCAGTAGTTGCTACATTTGGCAGGCGGGTTGGCAACCACCCGATGGTACTAAAGACGATGTTTTAAGAAGGACGCTGCTGCCTTTAGTCGCTTCTTATGACACTTACGAGACAGAAAAACTGAAAGGACGGTTTGTACCTGACGGAGTTATAAGGTAACAGAAATAAAAAAAAAATCACCGAATTGGGAAACTCCTTCCTTTTAACAGACTTAAAAAAGAAGCAGAGGGCCTACCATGAAATGTTTTCTGAAATTTCGGAGCCAAACGAAACACAAATTTGTTGTTAAAATTACATAATACATGTCATTTGGAAATATTAAAAATGTTAAAATATTGTTCCTTTGGACTTTTATCATAGGATGTATGACGAACGAAATTTTAAACTTCATTTATTGATCCGATTTTGGTATAAACAAAAACACGAAATTGAGTCCGAAATTTCGGAATTTCATTTCATGGTAGACCCGCAGGTACTTAATTCGGTTGTATTTTTTATGTTTAACAGAAAATAAACATAACTTCTCCCCCTCATAACTTCAGTTTGTAAATTGATTTCAAAAATTCATTTTTTAACCGAAAGATATAGGCACTTACATGTCGGTGACATGTAAATTTTATAAAAAAGATTCCAATAGAAAATAATTGATTTGGCAACAATTGAAGTTGGGTTTTTTAAGAACCACAGTTTAATTACACAGAACTGACAAAAGTAATATCAACGAAGTGAACAATATCTCAACATTTATTTATTTACATTGCTTCCAATATATTTAATAATAAATTATTACTTAGAAGGGATTTCATTATTCCGTTTTAAATAATTATCGCCATGTTTACCTTCATTAGGTGCACCCTTTTTTAAAGTCAAAACCGTGTTATTCGTACGACTGCGGTCTGGTCGAGCAAATTAAAAATAAAAGCCAAGCAAGCAGGTATTGTTAGAAATAACGCCATCTATTTATTCTTATATTATAGTTATTAGTTTATTCATTCGATATTCTTTTTTATTTTGTACCTTGTAAATTCAACTTTTGTTGAGGTTCTTACACGTTCTTCAGAACTGTAATTAAATTCCGATTGATTCTCTAGAATCTCACAATAGAATAAGTCACCCCATTCTTTCCCGTGAGTGCCATAAGAGGCGACTAAGAGAACTTAATAGTCGCAAAGACTAAATGCGGTTACCAACTTCAATAACGTTTTTCGGTCCAGTGTTCTTTGGCTAAAGTCAAATACTAGTTGATAATAGTTAAATACTGGATTATTATCACAAATGACAATTAATGATACCAACTTTAAAAAATATTGCATTAACTCTAGTACCATTGTATTATATATTTTAGTAGCTTTTACCTGCAATTTTGTCCGCGTGACCGATATATAAAATAGCCTATATCCTTCTTTATTTCATACACAATATGTGTACCGAATTTCATAGTGATTGTTTAAGCTGTTACGGTGTTATAAGGTAACAAACAAACTTACTTTCATATATAATATTAGTATTTAGCTCATCTTTAACCAAGTTTCATTAAAAAGCTTTGCACTTGTAGAAATCAGTAACGATATCCTAATCTATATTTCCTTCAAATATTACGGATACCGATATGATATTGATATCAGATATATTGAGTTTCTCTGGACATTGATGACGGAAAAAAGGTAATTTCAGTATTACCCACATCGGTCGGATATCCATTTTCGAATATGTTAAAAGTCTGTTATGCAATATTATGTTCTGGATAACAGACTTTTAACATTTTTTTTATACAACTTAGAATGGCAAACAAGCTGACGGCCCACCTGATGAAAAGTGGTAACCGTCCCCTATAGACATGAGCAGTACCATGGACATAACAGAGTATACTGTTTAGCTCATGATACCCCCCATGCGTTGCCATTCCTGAGGGCTCAGGTGTTATTCCTCTGTACCCAGTAAATTCACGCCATATCCCATCCTTCAAACCGAAACACAGCCATGCAAACACAACTGTTTTACGGTTGAAACACGAATGGGACAGAGGTAGCCAAGCAATCGACTTTTGTACAAAGTCTCACTCTGGTCCCTGTTCTTTATTGGACCAGTATATATATATATATTGCGATTAAAATATATAGATATTGCCATATATTACTCACCCTTACTCCATTGTGTTGGCATCGTTACGGTCTGAAATGAGTCCGCAAAGGTTTATCGTGCATAATTACGTTATGTGGAGGTAAATGTACATCCGCAACCTCTGTAATGATTAAAATAAGTTCTCTAAAATATTTCGTGTCGTGGCTAACATTTGTCACGCAATATCTAAGGATTTCATTAATCACGACAATGTAAACTCGCATTCCTACTATTTAAGCTAATGAGTATAATAATAATAATAATAAAACGTTTATTAACAAATACAGGGTTGCACTGTTACATATTTTTTGTCCTAGCTTACAAATTAGCGTAACCTGTGCCTTGTAAGCCAGTTCCTTCCAACACACAAGAACTAATACTTTGTATTTGTACATGCAGAATTAACAATATTAAACTACAAACATAATAAACAGGATGGAAAAAAAAGGGGAAAAAAAATCTGTAAGGTTCAGTGTGTGATGTGAGAGAACGTGAACAGTGTGAGTGTGTGTATGTTTAAAGTGAGAGAAAGAGTGGTGTGTATGTAATGTGTATATTATTTTTGTTTGTTCTTATACTTTTATATATACTTCTATATATAAATCCAGTAACTCTGTTTGTTTTATCTATATTGAATCCATACAATTATGTACTGTAAGTTTTATTAATACCAAGCAAGTTTTCAGTCTCATCATTCTTCTCTTTCCGCGTCTAGGGAAAGTAGATAAAGTTTTGTTTGAGAAATCAGTTCAGGGTACGATAGGACTGATATACCTGAAAAAGGTAAAAGCCCTTAAAATAATATTAAAAAGAAAAAAAAAATCAAACCTTTCCAGATTTTTTTTATGTATTTAGAATGATGTAACAATCGTCATGATGACATAATGACGATATCAGCTGTTATCTGTCCACCGTTGAATACACGCCTCCCCTTATAGGTAGGCTTTGCCAGTAGTTGCCACGCTTGATAGGCGGGTTGGGAAATGCTGTTACACTTTTGTGTTGTTTTAAGAGAGTTAGTTACCTCTTACGACACTCACGGGAAAAGAACGAGTGGGCCTATTCTATGCGAGGCTAACACGGCAATACGATATATTCTTATTATGCCAATTCGTCTAACATACGGGGTGAAATTGAAACCTTTAATATGCTTTTAAAGAAGTTTTTTTTTGATGGGTGAAAATGGTATGGTAACGCCACCTGCGCTAACGGGATACGCTGGCGGAGCACCAGTGAAGGGTGATAGATGAGAATGAAAACAGGCCAGTTAGCCCATCATGATGAATTCATCAGGAATTAACCATGATAGTTTCCAGGGGGAACCGCAAGGAGGTCGACCTGGTTGGGTATATTGCTAGCAATGGGATTCTCAGTCTCCATTACTAACAATCCCTTTCCCCCCAAAGAAGAAGTATTATACCAGTGAAATTGATCGTTTTCATTGAAGAAATCGAAAAAATAATAAAACATTTTGAGTTTCCTATGCTGACATGTAATGTCAATAAATTATTCAGATTGTTTTGCACAAAAAAAACTGATTTCAATTGTAATAAAACCAATTATTTTGATTTCAAAACTAAACTATTGTACTAATTTTAATAAAATTTCTATGATCCTAATTTGTAATTTGTTTACGCTTATATATAATAAAAAAAGAATTTTCCAAATCGGTTCAAAACTGACGAAGCTATATTTCCAACATAAAAAATACAATCGAATTAAAAAAAACACCTCCTTTTTTTAAAAAGAACTCATAAGGTTACAATATAAAAAAATAAACTGAGTTGAGCACCTTCCTTTTGTTGAAGTTTTTTTTTATATCACTGAGGTGGCAAACAAGCATACGGCCCACCTGATGGTAAGCGGTTACCGTAGCCTTTGAACGCCTGCAATAACAAAGATATTACGCGCGCGTTGCCGACCCTGAAGAAACCTCTTTATCCCACTTTTGTAGAACCCCATGCATGAAGTAAGCTGATAAATTCCTAAATACGTTGTACTTGCGGGGTTACGTATCACAATATTTCCACAGTAATATGTAGTTGATACCTATAAAGTTGACGTATATTCTTAAAATACTCGCAGGTCACGAAGTTTTATTCTATTCTATTTGTAAACCATGGTCCAAAGCTAAGTTTGCACAGTGCTCGTTTTGCACGTTTGTAATCCATTTTATTTTCGTTTTATATCCCTTCTGACGTCATTACCTATATAGCTGTCCGCTTCAATGTATTCTTGTTCCTTTAGAGTTGAAAGTTTTAAAATGATTTTGAAGTCACTAATAACTATGTATAAGTCTTTTTTTTTATACAACTTAGAATGGCAAACAAGCTGACGGCCCACCTGTTGGAAAGTGGTAACCGTCGCCTATAGACATGATCAGTACCATGGACATAACAGAGTACTGTTTCGCCCATAAAATCTTTCCTCTGTACCCAGTACATTCACGCCATATCCCACCCATCAAACCGAAACACAGCCATGCAAACACAACTGCTTTACGGTTGAAACACGAATGGGACAGAGGTGTCCAAGCAAACGATTTTTGTACAAAGTCTCCCTCTGGTAGACTTTGTACCAAACTTGTAGACAAAACTTTTTCAACAAAACAGTTTAATTTTGGTGAAATTATCAGAAAAATACTTTCAAAATTAAATACGTAACAAATCGAGGTATTATTCGTTTATTTATATTATTGGACATCGGCGAACTATCATGTGGTCAGGACAATGTTCGTTTTTTTTATGATTTATTTATTTATTTACATGCTTTTGTACATTTATTTGTAATATAGATATAAGGTTATAACAAAAATGTACACAGACGGACTTATCATTTAAAGGGATTTCTTTAAATCAATCTTGAGAACCCGAAACGAGAAAGAATCTATAGGGTCTGTATAAAAAGCATAACATAATATATAGTTATATGGTGCAAAACATTTTTTTTTTCATTTTCATTAAATTATTTATATAATTTATAATATGATAATTATAGTATTTTATAATATGCATTTATTTACATTTTTCTGCATCAGTTACACACAATTACAGTAAAATAAAAAATACAACAAAAGAACAAATTGATTAGCCAGAATTAAATGTAGCTTATGTCTTTCTCCATCCCAAATAGTACATGCACGTGTATATTAAACTTCATGAAGGTTGGTTGAGCCAAAATAAAGAAATTCACTTTTTTTATAATATTTGTAAAAATAGTAAGGACTTGTAAGGTTTAGAAAGCATTAGTCAAATTGTTACAAGTCCAGTTGTTAAGTGACTTTCTATAACTAAAGACTAATTTGTTTTTTTTTTATGCAACTTAGAATGGCAAACAAGCTAATGGCCCACCTGATAAAAAGTAGTAATCGTCGCCTATAGACATGAACAGTACCATGTACACAACAGAGTATACTGTTTCGCCATGATATCCCCATGCGTTGCCATTTCTGAGCAATAAGGTGTTATTCCTCTGTACCCTGTAAATACACTACCATATCCCACCCTTCAATCCAAAACACAGCCATGCAAACACAACTGTTTAACAATTAACTGTAAATTAACGAGTATGATAGCCTATATTTGTGCTAGTAAATCAAAACAACAAAGTCATGGTATAGATCACGTATTACCCAAGTTCTAGGAAAATAGTGTTTTAAACACGGAGAGGATACATTCCAGATTAGTGTTAGTTAACGAACCGGTGTGCCAACAGGACGCTGTTTGATGAAGGCTGTGAACGGTGCAAGTTAAGTGTTTTAGCGTTGGAATAGTTGGGAGGGCTTAAGAGATTTTTTACAAAAGTGTGGCATTGTCGGAAGGTAAACTATCTGATCTTTTATTCACGTATGTGGTCAGCTAAGTCGACACATTGGGACCTTTTGTGTTTCCTTCTGCCTTACACCATCATTTTATAGATCTTATGTGTTACCTTTGCGATATCTCATACTTTACTGGGTACGGAGGAATAACACCTGAGTCCTCAGGAATGGCAACGTATGGGGGGTATCATGGGCGAAACAGTATACTCTGTTATGTCCATGATACTCCTCATGTCTATAGGTGACGGGTACCAACTTTCCATCAGGTGGGCCGTCAGCTTGTTTGCCATTCTAAGCTGTATAAAAAAATTAAGATACCTATAGTCCCCTGCCTCTGGATAAGCTGCTCCCAGTAGACTCATACGTATACTTGTCAACGAATTACCGCTGCATATCAGGTGTTTCATTGATTCCGAATCCTCACTGCACAAATGGGAATCTATTATAATTTACCATTGATGTTCGTTTCCACTTTGGGTGTTGCTGGAAGAGAACTCTTTTAGAGTTAAGCTCGCCTTTGTACATTTGATTACCTCTGTCATATTTTTGTATATAATAGTTTGTACAATAAAGTATTAAATTAAATTGATTTACCTGAGTTGTCTTTATCGCGTTAATTTCCGTCTTCTATAAATATTTTGTTTTATTCATGACTCGTACTTGTACCTGTCTCTTGTAACTTAAACAGTCCATTATTGTTACAAACGTTGTGCAAACTTAGATGTATTGGCGTCGCTTTGGGCCGTTTGTGTTATGTAACATAAACCTTGTTTGGTACATTTGTCAATTTATTTGATCTTCACAGTCGAATACGGGCTCGATACTTGTTGCCTATTGAAGATTTTTAGTTTATTTTTAACTAATAATCAAGAATCAGGATTTTTAACTGTAAAACTAACTTTGTTGGCTTACTACGCATAAGTAGTAAGTTTTAGTCGAGAACTAGAATATGCTCGGATACTGGTTATTCGATTAGAATTATTTTGTTTAATTCCGCTACCATTAGTATGTGTGCGACTGTCAATACTTGTACAAAAGTCGATTGCTTGGGTACCTTTGTACCATTCGTGTTTCAATCGTGAAGCAGCTGTGTTTGCACGGCTGTGTTTCGGTTTGAAGGGTGGAATACGGCGTGAATTTACTGGGTACAGAGGAATAACACCTGAGTCCTCAGGAATGGCAACGCATGGGGGGTATCATGGGCGAAACAGTATACTCTGTTATGTCCATGGTACTGCTTATGTCTATAGGCGACGGTTACCACTTTCCATCAGGTGTATTGTCAGCTTGTTTGTAATTCTAAATTTGTATAAAAAAATAAATTATAATTACCACACTTTTTAATACTACTATGGTGACAAACATGTATATGGACTGGTTCATGGTAAACGGTTACCGTAGCCTATGGACGCCTGTAACACTAGAGATGTCACGCGCACGTTGCAGACCCTTAAGAAACCTTACCTCAAGATATGTTCTTTTTGTGGAACCCCAAGTTGTAGTCTCTAGGGTAAGTCTCAAGCAGGAAGTGATCCTCCTGCTTGAGATTTCTGTAATGATACACAACAGGTTGTGGAATGATCTTCCTTCTTGAGGCTTCCTGCTTGCACTCAGGAGTGGTCGCGGGAGGAAGTTCCTTTATTGAACCCTTATTGTTATAATGAAAATTTCGGGCCAGTATGCATGAAAGATGTCATGGGCTCTAGTATTTTTTGTGATGACCCCAGTGCTGTTAGACAGATAGATAGATAATTTATTTACATTACTTACAGCACACAAATTACAATAAAAAAAACATACACATAATACACAGTAAAAGAGATAAAAGACTAAAAATAAAAAAAAGCAACAGAACAAAAAAAAAAACAAAATATATAAACTAACAATTTCCTTTCTTTCCCTTCCTTCATGCGTGTGCCATTGTAACACAAAATGGTCACAACTCAGTTTATTGCTTTGCCCTTAAAAGAGCAAAACACTGATATTCTGTTGTGGCCAAGAGTTTATAAGCCAAAGTCACTATTTTCTGTTAAAAAAAAAACAGTATTTAGACAGTTCTATAAAGAAAACTTGTAGATCACTTGCCATAAAATAGCTAATGGCTCATCACAGGGTAAACCCTATTTACTTCGAAATGAACCATCCAAATCGGTGTATGTGTGTGTGTGTGTGTGTGTGTGTATTTTATTGTAATAAATATTACTGTACGCCAAGTACTCTGCTAACATAAAGAGTGCTCCATAATTATTTCATACATTTAGAAGTCAAGTAAAAATATGATTATTACAAGGAATTTTATTATGGAAACCAATTGTAATACCATTCAAATACATGTGTTAAGTAATCAATGGTACATGAATTGACACACATTTTACTTTACAACCTTCAAAGAAAGCTACGCCCCACTCATTTAGGGTTGTCACATGTATCTTACTATTTTTTTGGATACTTTATTTGTTCTATTGAAAAAAAAAATATAGTACTCAGCAAACTCCTTATTAATATTATAAACTAGATTTACCTGCGACTTCGTCCACATATCCTTGATATGTTTACTAACCGAGATAATATATTTTTTATTCTATGCCCATACGATATCACATCTGTACACCAAATTTCATAGTGATCGGTTAAGCTGTTAAGGCGCTAAGTGGTAACTACTTTCGCATACTCACTTTCACATTTGTAATATTATAAAATATAATATTTATTACTCAATAAACAATATGAATTATTTAATATGACTTAATAATTATTGGAAAATAATTTTCTATGTTTCTATGTTTTCTCCCACGAACACTCAGGTTATGGAATGAGCACCCTGCCGAGGTTTCCCCAAGAGACTACAGCATGGGGTCCTTCAAAAGGGGGGTAAAGAGGTTTTTTCAGGGTGGGCAACACGCGCGTAATACCTCTAGTATTGCAGGCGTTCATAGGCTACGGTAACCGCTTATCATCAGGTGGGCCGTATGCTTGTTTGCTACCTCATTGGTATAAAAAAATCTATATTTTAACAATAAAATTGTCAAGTGTCTAATCATAAATATAAAAAAAATTGGACTATGTTAATATTGATCTATAATTTCTTGACATCCTGAATATAAGTTTATACTTAATATACTAACGTGAAGGAGTATGTTTGTTAGAACGAGATAGTGTATGGAACTATCAGTTGAATTCAAAAAAATACTTTTTTATTTCTAGAGGCTATTGAATATCAATATAAACGTATATTCATATTCAATATTGGCGGTAGTATCTATAGACGATACAGCTAAATCTAATATATATATATATATAACATCAAATGGATATATATATATATATCCTTTTTATTTTTGTGACAACCCTACACCCATCCCACGCAACATTGCATCAATACTATTGTGAGCCTAAGGCCTTGTCGTTTGTATCACGATTGATAAAATATTCAATTGACGATATCACGCTATTGTCAAAATCGTATTTCGACTTATCGTATTTTCTATTTCATGTTTTTCTAAAAATATTTCGGATATAGGTGTGATTTTTTTTATGCAAATCCGGTAAGGACGATATAGTTAGAAATCTTTATTTAGAAATATGACAGTGAATGAGTTAGTAACCGTAACTCGGGCAAAAGAAAGTATATTTTCATATTATATTGTTATTATTTATACTTTATCGCCATAAAGATTATATTATTATAAACATGTAACAATGCAGTAATGCGTAAAATAAAAATAGAAATAAATTATATTTATCAAACAGATTATAATTTTTTCTTTAAAGGGTCCTTCTCAGCAGATAATAACTTTCAGGGTCGGCAACGCGCACGTGACACCTCTAGTGTTGCAGGCGTCCATAGGCTACAGTGACCGTCTACAATCTGACGGCCTATATGCTTGTTTGCCACTTCTGTGGTACAAAAAAAAAGTTCCGAACGCTGGAGTAGATTTAAAAAAATGACGACTTAAAAGTACTTGTAAACGAGTTGTGATGGTCCCCCCTCTTTTTGTGCACTCCTTTATAAAATAACTACCCTCTAAACTAAGCTACACATGGAAAACCTACAAAGCCTAAGAAAAGCCTACGAAGGCTTTACCTAATGAAATCTATGAAAATATAATGAAAATCTACCCTAAAGAAAGGCCTAACACCCTCAATATAGCCCATACCTATATTGCTTTATACACCCCAAACATCTTATGAATCATATAAACCCTTACAATAAACACATAATATTGAACAGATTTTATAGTAGAACACTTGATCATTTGGCCAGATAAATAAATGTGTGATCGTCTAGTAATGTAGGACCCGTTGTGTGTGTAATAACCAAAAGGTTCTTTAATTGGTATATGATAGGAGTTAAATAATGAAGATGATTGATAAATCTTTAAGGATTAAGAATAATTAATGAATTATACTCATAATTCATGTAAAAAGGAAGTTATGTTAATTTAATAGTAAATTACAGAATAACTGTAATAATAAAAAAAATGGGGGAGCGGTCGGGCCCCTCACACGCCCGGACCAGTGGAAGACTTTCCAACTATCTATAACTCTTCCTCCAAAAAGGTAGGGAAGGGTATTACTATTTATTAATGCACTCTGATGGTAATAAGGGAATGAGTATTCTCAGTTCCAAACCAAACATAAGTACATTTACTTCAACATTACAGTGGCTCCACCAGCCCCACGATGCTTCCAGTATAAATTGGTGTTTGCCAGAGGCAAAAGGATCGGAACTGAAATCCCAGGATCACTCCGACACGAGAGCTTACTCATGGGCGATGACCCTTTCAGTCCTATATGGCGACATAGAGATCACCCACTAACAGTACGAAACTGTTTCCCAGCGTCACCCTGTTACGAGCTTTCTCAATGGGGGTTTCCCTTCGGCTCCACAAGAGATCAGACCAAGAAGCGAGATCACCCAGACACCAGAACTTACTTTGTTGGGACATAACCCTTCGGCCCTATAATGTGACATTAGAGATCACCTGTGAAGACAGTCCGATAGAGATGAAGATTTGTGTGATAGGGGATACCTTCCACACCCTGGAATTGGCCAAGCCATATAATGTTGATAATTGCTATATCATAACATAGCATTGTCAATTTAATATTATTTACTTAATACCAAGAATACTCAAGGTTCAAGTTAAATCTGTTGATTAGGCCGGAGCCTAAGAACGAGTAGTCCAACCCATAGGTCGAGAGCTACTAAAAGTAATGAGTGCTATTGAATGAACTATAAGTCCAGTCAATTATATATAATATTATTGTTGATTAACCACATTGTGAATTAACCAATTATTTATTCAGAGAGATATATCTAAAGGAACTATAAGTCCTTTAAAAGACACTGATTAATCACAAGTTAACAACGTCTCGTGAAATAACCAGTTGGATTTTCTATAAGTTTGAGGACACTAAGTCCAACAAGCTATTATTGTGTTGAGAGTAATAGAGATCTTTTGTAATATTTATAGAGGTTTGATTAATCACATTGTGAAATAATCAGATTAAATAATTATGTAGCTTTATAGAGAGGACTATAAGTCCTAATTGGTTGTTGTCATAAGTACTGATAAATTACACATTAAAGTGCCAGGTCAATTATTATATATAGGTATATAGGAAGGACAATAAGTCCTATTTGTGTATGTTGTAGTAGTAGAGGCAATACGAGTATATTGCATAATTATAATGTGAAAGATATAGATTAAATATATATTTGTATAGAAAGGACAGTAAGTCCCATACAATTATTGTAGCTTTACTATAGTTATACTATATCTACTTCCTTTTAGTGTCTTAGTAAACCTATTTACTAAGAGGATTTCTCAGATAAACAAGTGTTTTAGTGTTTAAATCATCATAATTAAATCCCTAAGAAATTAGGTCTTTAAATAATTATCATATCATTTAAGTGAAATTTCTCATATAAATAATTCCAATATTTCCCCTACAGTTATTATAAAATAACAGAAAATTATATAAATTTTCTATAGACTTAGATATAGAATCATAACGTGTATAATCTCCTTTTGTTTGACATCTGTCACATTAATGACGTATTGAATGACGTATTGATGTATTGAATTGAATTTTGATTATCTATCACAACTGTCAACGTAACAAATACTAGCAAGTTTGTTTATTTGTATTTGTTTAATATAATTAAATATAAAATCATCATATATCAACCGTAATATACAACTAAATTATCAGTGACATAAATAATCATGGTTTACACCAGAAATAATTAATAGTATCCAGTAATGCTGCAGTTTTATATTCATATCAGTAGCCAAGCTTACTTTCAAATTCAAGAATGAACAGAAGATTAGAAATTTAACATTCTTATTGCAATTGTACTTGCAATAATATATACATACAGTACTAATTATCAAGAACATTCCTCAAATACATGTGTGGTGAAGATTTCCCAATATGCTATCTATTTGATTCCTAACTTCTAATGTAAATTTATTAAAGAAGTGAATAATCAGTGTTAGTGTTTGCTTTATTAATATTTAAAGTAATTGTCCTAACTTGATATTAATAGGATAATATCTCCTTGGATACAGTCCGACATAAACATATAACTCAATAATTAAATTTATAAAATACTAATATTATATTTTACTACTTGTATATCTCCATACTATTCCCATAAAATATTCAAAACATGTATATTAAATATAAATCCAGTAAATATTCACTAATATTAACCCTGTCTGAACTTGTCTAGTCAATATAACATGAACAAACAACACACATACAAACCTTATCGCCAGGACAACTTCCTTTCTAAATATGAGTAAAATACATAGCTTCACAAGTGTCATACAGTACCAATTTTATACTGAACCTCATACCTAGTTAAGAGTAACTATAGTCAGAGAATCTTTTAGTACTTTTATTACCATTAGGAAATAAATCCACACCTATAATATCAGCATAATTAAATATTATTAGTAATCAGTAATACACACAGAATTGTTATTATCAGCTTGCTTACTACAACAAAATCAATATTAAAGTTTATAATAAATCAAGACAAAATATCTATTTAAATAATACAAGCTTGTTTACCATAAACACCCCACAGTCACATGAATTTATCTAGTAACACAATTAATAATGTATTAAAAGTATTACATTCACATAATATCACTTGCAACAGTTAAGCTGTCTCTTTGTACATCTGGTGTAAAACAAATCCCCACATGTAGTCATGGATAATCAAATATAGACTAAGAATCATTAATCTGGTCGACCGAGTAATGGTATAAAAACACTTCACCATGAAGCGTTAAGTATGAACAGATATTCCAAACCAACACTGTAATAGTGTAATAAATACAAATATTTCATCATCATCATCGTCTCAACCATCACCAACCCACGACTGAACACAGGCAATTTCCACCGACTGACACAAGGAACGGCCCCACAATACACATAAAACAGTCACTCCAAACAATGGAGGTAGCCCACACCGCACTTGCATTCACAGGGTCGCCACTCAACAACCCCTCTCTCTCATCAATGGCTGTTTCCCCAGCAATGAGACCAGACCATAGTCACTTTAGTCTATTATCCTCAATAAATAAATACTTTATAATAACTAGATATGAAACTAGTTAGTATTGTAATAGTTCAATAGTTGATTCAATAAGTATTTTCCAAAACTGGACAATTAGAACATTGAATCAAATTGATGAAGTTTTATCAAACGACCATATAATTGGATTTTTTATATGAGTAGAATAACGTAAGTACGTAAATTATATTGATGTAAACTTTGTTCAAATGTGATTGCATTTAACGATATACGCATTACCTAAAGGTATATGGAATCGACTAAATACGTATTTTAATAGTTGTTGGGAAAAATATTAAGTATAGACTTTGCCTGTGATCACAGTCAAAAATCTAACTACGTAGTAATAAATGGAACAAGCTCACCGGATTCTCCAGTCTTCTATTGATTAATTTCACACACTTAATCCATAGTAATACACTAAGATCTCAAACCCCTTCATCGAACCAGTCCCTCCTAGATCTATATCCTAGTTATTTTTTTATTTTATTGCGCAGTCCCTTAAAACACGACTCCTGCGCCATTTTTTTTCTTTTCCTTTTTTTTCTTTTATTGCGCAATTCCTAAAAAGTGACTCCCGCGCGCCCGCCGATCTGCCGGCCCTCCTCTTTTTTTTTTTTTTTTCACCTAGTAACGTCATAGATTATGTCACCGAAGGGTAGATATTTCAATAATCGGATTTAGCCTATTATTCGAACTGAACTTTTCTTTAAATTCAATTTAATTATATGTTAACGTATTTTGGTATTTTCTATTAAATTGATTATCGAATTTATAAAACTTTAAAGGCTCTCGTAAACCTTATTAAACTGTGTTGTATGCATCCTTTTTACACCTGATGAGAAAAAGGTAAACTATAATTTGGTTAATATAAAATATAATATATTTTTGTTTAATTTATTTAATTTTCTTGTGACGTCCACTACACTCTGGAAACACATCAAAGGAGTTTCCCTTCTGTGTCAATATTTCATATATGGTAACGTCTTCTCTGTATACTATTGTGAACCTTGACTTTAAAGTTTGTTTATATTAAATAGCTCAGCTTTCGCAGCGGTCACCCATAGGAACCCCTGTTTCTTTTCTATGTACTTATGGTATTAAACCTATTGTACTATAGGCGAACCGTCACAGAGTCTATTTGAATACAGATGATTTGAATTTGAATTTTTTTTATACAACTTAGAATGGCAAACAAGCTGACGGCCCACCTGATGGAAAGCAGTAACCGTCGCCTGTAGACATGAGCAGTACCATGGACATAACAGAGTATACTGTTTCGCCCATGATACCCCCCATGCGTTGCCATTCCTGAGGATTCAGGTGTTATTCCTCTGTACCCTGTAAATTCACGCCATATCCCACCCTTCAAACTGAAACACAGCCATGCAAACACAACTGCTTCACGGTTGAAACACGAATAGGACAGAGGTACCCAAGCAAACGACTTTTGTACAAAGTCTCCCTCTGGTATTATTTTTGAATTATTTTTTTTATTAGTTTTTCACTGTTATGAAAGGTTATTTAGGATGCAGGTTGTTTTGAATAATTGTCGTGTGGTCCCGTTATAGAATGGCCCACCTCTTCCTTTCAAGTAGGTGTCGTAGTCGTAAGAAGCGACTTAGGGAACTTAATGGCCGAGATATGACCATCAGGTCCCTCACAACATCCTCAAAAGCCTAACTGTGGTCGCCAAAAACTGCCAAAACTTCCCTTATGGGGAAGGCCTATGTTCATCAGTGGGCAGTTAACGGCTGATATAAATAATAAAATATAAATTTTGAATGATGACTGTTTGTTGATACATACATGTATGTGAAGCCTGCAATGTGGGTATACCTAATACATGTATGCGGGGGGGAAAGGGATTGTTAGCAATGGAGTTTGACAGCCCCATTGCTAGCAATATGCCTTATTAGGTCGACCTCCACGTGATTCCCCCTTGCAACCATCGTGAACAATTCTTGTTGAATTCGTCACAATGAGCTACCTGACCTACTTCATCCTCACCTATCAACTTTCACTGGTGCCCCGCCGGTGTATACCAATAGCGCGGGTGGGGTTACTATTCTATTATCATCCATAAAAAAATATACATGTATGCGGAATGATAAAATGTCTTAACAGAAAACTATTAGCATTTATACCTCTAATAAGAATTATAGATAATGCTTTGTTATAGTATTAATATTTGTTTGTTATATTTTTGTTATATTACCAATATTATAAATATGAATCCGAATGATGGTATATATGTGTGTATATATATATATATATATATATATATATATATATATATATATCTTATATATAAAATTCTCGTGTCACGGTGTTTGTTACCAAACTCCTCCGAAACGGCTTTACCGATATTTATGAAATTTTGTGTGCATATTGGGTAGGTCTGAAAATCGGCCAACATCTATTTTTCATACCCCTCAATGATAAGGGTAACCCTCCCCAAAAAATTTTTTTTTATTTTTTTAACAAATTTTTCCATTTTTATTTTATTATGATTTAGCATTGAAAGGTACACACAACTTTAAATTTTTCCGTTTATTCTTAAAGTGGTGCAATAAAGAGTAAATAAGTTTCTTTTACTTCCCATCAAAGAACACATTTTATTTCACGCTGACACCGTTGCGGGTGAAAGCTAGCTATAGTTAAAATCTGTGGAAGTAATATAAATGTTTTCCAACTTACATAAATGATAAAAATTTGCCCTACTTACCTAATTCCAGTCGATTACATATCATCTCACGTGGCTCACATGGCTAACTGTTAAAATTGTGTCACAAGATATTATTATGCATTAACTCAAGAATCTTTTCCTTGTATCGTCAGTCATGATATTCGTATAAATTATCCAAATCACAAATCGATTCTATTTGATACTGAACGAATTTTGTTCATTTGGAAATTTAGAACTTTTTCCGTATATTTAAATAAAATCGACTGTATAATGCTATTCAAAATACTCGTACTTTGTTCTACTATTTTTATTAAAATGGTTTTAATTAATTATATTCAATCAATCGGTTTGGAAACTTCATCTTCAAGAGTATTTATAAAAATAAATATAAAACAATTATGTATAAAAAGTGTGTCTCTATTTACAAATGCTACTCTGACTAAGGGTCAACTTTTTTATTTAGGGTTACCATAATGTATATCTATTACTTTGTATATGGGAAAAATATATTGTGTGGTTAAACAGAAAAATGAAACGAACAAGATTAACGCAATTGGTAATGATGTTTATATTTACTAAATACTTTTATTTTTATATAAACATATATACATAAAGTATATCGTAGAAAATGACCACCATTATAATTAATATATGTACATTATATTTGTAGTATTTATTTATATTATAAATAAATAGATAAAGTAGTTCTTAATTCAAATTGAAAAAAATAGATCTCTAATTCAATTACTTTACTGGCAACATTAGAAATAGCGCGTTTTATTTCAATTTAAAAAAAATTACAGATAATCATTAATGAGTATCTATGTATCTACTTATTGTTGTGTACGATATTGTTTTTTATTGGTAGTTTTTTGTGGTACTTAGAATGGTAAATAAGCTGATGGTTCACTGGCTGATGGAAAGTGGTAATTATTGATTACTATGATTATATGACTATCACATGACTAGACCCATGAATATCACAGAATATACCGTGATATTCATGGTAACATATATTCTAATTTCCCTGCCATTTCCAACCTTCAAATGGAAAGAGAGCCATGCAAGCGTAGCTGCTTCACAACAGGAATTTACCAGAGGGAGACTTTGTACAAAAGTCGATTGCTTGGGTACCTCTGTCCTATTCGTGTTTCAACCGTGAAGCAGTTGTGTTTGCATGGCTGTGTTTCGGTTTGAAGGGTGGGATATGGCGTGAATTTACTGGGTACAGAGGAATAACACCTGAGTCCTCAGGAATGGCAACACATGGGGGGTATCATGGGGGAAACAGTATACTCTGTTATGTCCATGGTACTGCTCATGCCTATAGGCGACGGTTATCACTTTCCATCAGGTGGGCCGTCAGCTTGTTTGTCATTCTAAGTTGTATAAAAAAAAAAAAAGGAATACAACTGGGATAGAGTTGCATGCAGATATTTTTTTTAATGGGTGATGATGCAATAGTGACCCCGCCTGCGCTATCGGTATACGCTGGCGGGGCACCAGTGAGGGAAGATAGGTGAGTATGAAAGCAGGTCAGTTAACCCATCGTGAAGAATTCCACGAGAAGTAACCACGATGGTTTTCAGGGGGAACCACGTGGAGGTCGACCTGATTAGTAACATTGCTAGCATTGGGGTTGTTAGAGTCCATCGCTAACAATCCTTTTCCCCCCGCATGTAGATATTTTCCGTACAAAGTAACAAATTGTATTGTTAAAATATAATTTTGCTGTGATCATTTAACTACTATGACGATGATGATGAGGAAATGCAAGTAATATGCCATTTCCATCAATATGCAATTTTAGCCGTTAATTTTGCAATTTGCTAGCGTCAGCAAAATTGTATCGATGTCATTGATAGATGCCTATTATGAAACCAAATCTCTTATTTATTTACAAGTAGGCACTAAATACTATATTATTGTTTTGTTTAGGAGGCTGCTCAGCATTCGGCCACTCATGTTTTGGTGGACATGGCAAGAGATCCGGAGATACTGCTGCTATGGAGGTGAGATATAACACACACATAAGTACAAATAGATGGTCACATTGTAAATATATATTTTGCGTACGATGGTACGCAAAATATATATTTAGCGTATTTTCTCTTGTGTATCTTTGACGATCGTTGATTGCTGGCCGACGCGAAGCAACTCCGTTCAGCGTATACCTTCCTATAGTAAAACCTTTGAAAATACTACCTATAATGGTGTTTCTGTTAATTCTCTAAACTTTACTCAACTCTAATTTTATATAAATATTGAGGTTAGAAATTTGAGCGCAATAAAAATTGCGTAAGCCTATTTTAGGGTTAAAAACTAATAGGAAAAGTATATTTAGTTGCGGTATCTATTTAAAATAAAATATCTATGTAAAATATTGTATTTTTTAAGTACAATGCTAGCATTATTTTATGTTATTTATGTATAAATAATTATATAGATAGAGCGTAATTCGAGAAAAACCGGTCAACTTTTTCATACAATTTTGCGTGATAAATAGTTATGAGTGATTCCTTTGTAACTTCTATATTTATTATGTCTTATAATGTTTGTATCTTTTTAATGCGTATACACTCATTTTATTTATTAAATAATACGTTAAGATACATTTTATGCGTAAGTATATAGAATACTGATAAAGAAATTAGTCAGCTAATTTGATAATTATATATTTTTTGAGGCTCTCTATCTATATAATTTAAATCATACATTATTTTTATGGGTGAAAATGGAATAAAGGGTGATCGATGAGAATGAAAACAGGTCACTTAGCCCATCAATGATGAATTCATATTAAATTAGTTTCCAGGGAGAACCGCGAGGAGGTCGACCTGGCTGGATATATTGCTAGCAATGGGATTCTTAGTCTCCGTTAATAACAATTCCTTTCCCCCCTATTATTAACTGTTATTTTCTTTACCTATCCCAATAATGAAGTATCGCGTTCGTGATTCACTGTTCATCCCAAAGGTGGACTGGTAGAGAATGTTACTAGAATTAAGTCCGTATTTTGTATTATATTTTCTTTTGATCAATAAAGTTATTTAAATAAATAAATAAATAATGATGACTATGTAAAATATGCCTACCGAGGTAAAATTAACGTACGCGTGAATCTGTTTCGCGGTTTGCGTAACAAACTATTTGTCAATAATGTCGAATGTTCAATTAGTAATTCTGGGACAACTTGATGAGATTTTAAATGACTGGCTAAAGTTTATTTGTTTTTAGAGTCCTGTAATATATATATATATATATATATATATATATATATATATATATATATATATATATATATATATATATATATATATATATATATATATATATATATATATATATATATATATATATATACTCAGCTAATTATATAGCGTCGTCTAATCCCAATTTAAACAAATTAAAAAGAGAATAGTATTTTTTGACAAGACTAGAAATCTCTTAAGTGTAAGCTGGAACTATTTTGATGTATTGTTTTTTTATGAAAATTGGTGTGAAAAATAAGAACACCAAAAATAGTACCTTATAGGAATGAACAGCATTATGGGGATTACAGAATGTATTGTGATGATTGGTGGTAGCCGCGGGCATCACAGTGCATTCTAACAGTGGCTTCATATAATTGTCTCCAGGAATGGTCTTGAAGAAAGTCATAGTATATCATATAGTCATATATGAAGCCAATGATAGTGCTGTAAGCATGGCGAGATTCAGAGTCACTGGTATCTGATCCTGTATAGAAGAAATAGAAGGAGAAAGAAGGGGAAAACTAAGAATGGATGGGCTAGATAAGAGAATCTCGTATCGAGATGTTAAGAATATAGTTTTGGCTTTTTTTTTAATGGGTAATAATGAAATAGTTATCCTGTCTGCATATCGGTATACACTGGCGGGGCACCAATGAGGGATGAAAGATGAGGATGAAGTAGTTCTGGAAGGAGAAGTAACTGGCTCATCGTGATGAATTTAAAATATATTAATCACGATGGTTTCCAGGAGGAATGGCGTGGAGGTCGATCTGATAGTATATATCGCTATTGGACCGTGTAGTCCCGGAATAGAATAGGTCAGCCTCTTACTTTCCCGTAGGTGTCGTAAGAGGCGACTAAGAGAGGGCGAAGGATGTGCAGTTGCGTCCCTTTTAAAACATCTATAAAGCCTAATTGCGATTGTCAATCCGTTTTCTAAGCGTGGCAACTACTGGAAAAACCCCCCAAAGGGGAGGCTTATATTCAGCAGTGGATAGTTAAAGGCTGATATAATGAGTAAGGCTGTTATATTTCATTACTAACAATCCCTTTCTCTCCTTTGGCTGAGGCTATTTTAGGCTCTATTCTTGACATTATAGTTAAATGGACAAAAATATATGTTTTTATCTTATTGTTGCTCCAACAAGGAACTTTTAAATTGCAAAGAAGAATATGTGACTCCTAAGTCATTGAAACAAAGACAAAGATTGCAAAAATAGGTGTAAAGGTGGTATGTAAAAACTGAAAGTACCCAGTGTCAATGACCTCACTATCCTTATGTAATTCCATACTCGGACACTTCATACAAAACGACGTGATCCATAATAGCTGTCACCATTACATAAATAGATGACGTCTGTACACGCGCACGTGTGTGTGTTTGATTGTGTAGAGCGTTCCTTTTTTGATCTGTTATATCGAGTTCCACATAAGTGTTAAATATAGCGCGCTATTACTAGAATTTCTTGGCTTCTTCACTGCGTCTTTCTGGAAAAAGGACTGTTTTTATTTTGAAAGATTTTATCTAAATCTAAGATTTTAGAAAATTTTACTAATATTACAATATTACAGTGTTTGTTTGTCCTCATAGCGCCATAACGGTATTACCAGTCACTATTAAATTTGGATACATCCTGCTTTATGGAATGGAGAAGAAAATAGGCAATTTTATATCCCTGGCACGCGGATGAAGTCGCAGATAGTCGCTAGTATTGAATATGTGAAATAATTCATTTGTAATTTTGTTTCAGTCAAATTCTGAAATGATAGCGAGGCATCAACTAGGACAAGAAGAGACGGCCCCACATCCAATTTATCCCCACTCTGGATACAGTGGCGTTCTGCCGCCTGGTGACGATATCATACCCGTCAGAGATGGGGGTGAGTTCTTTACCCTAGTGATCAGAAACATAATAAAAAAACAAATATAATTTTTTTCAAACGTGAAAAAAATATTGGCGAAAGAGGCATAACTCAAGCAACCCAATTGCAAAAAGAATTATAGGATTGGATCATTATTGAAAAAGATAACACATAACTTATAAACACACACATACACACACACACAAACAAACACATACACACACACACACAGACACACACACACAAAATAAATGAATTAAGAATACTTAAAAAAATTACTTAAAATACACAGAATGTGTGATGAATATCATTAATAATTATCATATAGGTGACTTAAGATATCAATTAAATACTGTGCTAACATATTATATATTGCTAATTTCTAATAGCAAATACTAATATACACGTACTAAACTTTGTACAAAACAAGCATGACAGTTTGAATTTATTTTTGTAACTTCAACAATACAACGCTTAAGTTCTCACACATTTGCACAATAAGTTAGCGACTTACCCGACTTACGCCCACTTAAACGTAATAAGATTTAATACCACAGACTATCTGTAGACAGTAGCTCGACTTTATATTTTATCACTATTAATAATATTTATCTTAGTGAAAAATATATTTATTGCATTTTGTAAAGTTAAATAAGAGTTCTTATTGAAGTAATATATAGAGCACATTATAAACGATATCTGGCACTGAAATTTGAAATACTAAACATACTTTCATATTAACATACATACGTATGTCACTAGATTAACTATATATTTTTTTATAATGAAATGAATTTCTGTAATTTTACGTCGAGTTGGAGTAGGCAGAAGGAATCTTACATAATATCTCTTGTTTTATTTACATTTATATATCGTCTCATGTATGCATATCAGTTTATTTTTGACTTTTCTCTTTAGATATAACATGGTAATTACACATGAGGCCTATAAAATCAAAGACAGCTAAATCCAAGTCTGTCAAATATTCAGGAAACTACAAAAATTATAATTTTCCCAAGCATATGGAATGATATTCTATATTTTAAACCAAAATTGAAAAAAATAGAATATTAATAATAAATTTAATTAATAGAACTATATTTGAGTACAGAGTGAAAATGAAATCGATTTTATGGCGTTTAGCTGTCTTTGACTTTATAGGCCTCATATATAGTACATATTTTGTGTGTCACGATTTGACCTACTGCCTCATTTATACTGTGACATCGCTGTGCAGGTGTGTACGACGACAGCGCCGCCCGGGACGTAATGAAGTTTAAACTACGGAACATCATCAAACATTGGGTGAGAATTATTTAGACAACACTTGTGAGAGCGCTTGTGACTCGTTTGATGTATAAACTAGTAACCGCTGGACAACGTCACATATTGTTAAGTGGTACTACGCCTTAACTCAATTGAACTGTTAATATTAATTTGTTATATGTCATTTATATTAAGGTCAGTTAAGGCAACTTAATATATTATATTTATACTATGCACTCTTCACTCTGTTTTATACGATCCAAATTATCCAGAGTATCTTAAATGCAAATTTATATTTTTTTTTTTATACAACTTAGAATGGCAAACAAGCTGATGGCCCACCTGATGGAAAGTGGTAACCGTCGCCTATAGACATGAGCAGTACCATGGATATAACAGGGTATACTGTTTCGCCCATGATACCCCCCATGCGTTGCCATTCCTGAGGACTCAGGTGTTATTCCTCTGTACCCAGTAAATTCACGCCATATCCCACCCTTCAAACCGAAACACAGCTATGCAAACACAACTGCTTCACGGTTGAAACTCGAATGAGACAGAGGTACCCAAGCAATCGACTTTTGTACAAACTCTTCCTCTGGTGAGGGAGATTCATTCTATTCTATCTATTCCATGAGGACAATGTTTTTCGTTATCTTCGTCAATGTTTTAGTGTGTGATAATGGAATGGTAATCCCACCCGCGCTACCGGTATACACCGGCGGAGCTCCAGTGAAGGATGATAGGTGAGGATGAAGCAGGTCAGTTAGCCCATCGTAACGAATTCAATAAGAATTGCTCACGATGGTTTCCAGGAGGAATCACGTGGAGGTCGACCTAATAGGGCATATTGCTAGCAATGGGGCTGTCAAATTCCATTGCTAACAATCCCTCCCCCCCCCTTCGCAATGTAGGAAGTTACTTCTCCACATCTTAACTCATCATGGATTTATTTCTTATTTCTTTGCCACTCAGGCCATTAAACACTGGAATGCACTGCCTCTTGACATTAAATCAATTAAAAGCAATATTTAAAAATAAATTACATATATTTTTTAATAACTTTATTTTTTATCTTCATTCCTTTCTTTTGCTTATTAATTGTACTTTTTGCTTCAGTCGTAGGTATTTTTCTGCCTTATTTTCTTTTCTCTGTTGTTTTAATCTATCATCATTAGAATTATTTACTGTTGGTTGTATATTATATGTGTATTTGTGTATGTATGTGTATTTGTGTATGTATGTGTATTTATACATTTATTTATTTCTGGATATATGCATAGTTTGTTTTATTCTAAAAATGTTTTTTTTTATTATTTAAAAAAAATCTCTGTCTGTATATAACATGTATAAAGACAATGTAATAGGAACAAATGTACCGCCATTTTTTGGGTTCATCATAATTTTTATTAGAATAGTGCAGTCCACTATTTTTTTATACCACAAAAGAGCAAACAAGCATTCAGCCTGTCTGATGGTAAACAGTCATTGTAGCCTATGGACGCCTGCTTCACTAGGGGTGTCACGTGTGCGTTGCCGATATATAAAGAATTAAAAACTAATCAATAACTTTTAATTTCAGATGGACAACTACAGAGGGTCACAACAAAACGACGACGGTTACTTCATGGAAAATTTGTAATTGCATTGTGAAAATTTTTCTTCCTCTTCCATTATATATAATATATATATCAATAAAATTATTGTCACATAATTCAAGAAGTTTGCTTTTTTTTATAAATAAAAAAAAAAACGAGATGAGTTCGAAATGGGTTTTTGTTGGTGATCACTGACCGATTCGCTATTTTCGTGTTCCCACTATTTTGAATCGATTTAAAAAAGAATAGGATTGTAGTTTGATGGTGAATATTTTATGCGTAAGTTTCTTATGTCGATATATGTTCGTTAACCGATTTCGATGGTTATTTTTTAACTGACAGTTTTGCATTAATTTTGTTGAGATTAAAGTTCTTATGAGGTAAAAAGATCTTAAATGATTAATTTACTTGTATGCGTATTAAAAACAGTATTGATCATTTTTATATGTTGCAGACTAAAAATTCATTTGTATATTTTACATAACATATATACAATTTATGTTATATAATAGGATATTATATGGATAAATTGTTAACTTATGTACTTACACAACCTTATATAAAATGGTAAAACGCTATTACTATTTTCTTTTTATAAAAAAAGTTGATTTTTATTTTAATATAATTGTTAGAGAATCATTCAGAAAGTAATTATCTTATAGAAATGAGTATGTGTAAAGGTTAACATTGCAGTAAATCTTCTTTTTAAATCGTTTAAAAACTGTGGCGTTATTAACACAAAATTCCAAGTTCTCGTATATTTTTTATTCTATTCACGGATCACAACGAAATATGCTTGAAATCCTTTTAAACATTCAAATTGTGGACGAATGTAAATTTATTTTATTATAATTTTAACACACGTCCTTTATATACTTAGCTATTCTTATATATATATATATATATATATAAACCGTATCAACTTGTACCGTACTAAATGTAATGTAATACATTTTATCATTGCATTTCACGTCCAAAATATAAATAAAGATTAAATGTAAATTTATGAGCAGTGTAATATTTAAAATTAAGTAAAGAACTTAAAAAAAAAACAATATTAAAGGGTTACTTGTTAATGATATACGGAGATCCAAATTTAAATTTATTTATTACATTCATAGTTTTGTTATAAAATCCTTTTAGAATCTATTTCCCTTATCAGATATATGTATTGTACTTTAGAAATTGCAATAAAAATAAATCTTATTCGACGATATAATAATTGATTGTAAAATGTTTTCAAAGCTATAGCCAATAAGGCAAGAATTTGTTAAAGTTATTTCACTTTAATTGTAAATTTAATATAATTTTTTAATTCTGCAAATTTAAAATCTTACGTAGTAGTTTTAATTTTTATTGTCTTTAAAATAAAAAGATGTGTATTTATGGGGTAGAAAATACAGTTTTCAAATTAATAAAAGTATACAACGGTTTTTTTCCTACATTACCAATTATTAAACTATTTTATTACACAAAGGAGAATATGTCTAGTCAATTATAAAGTGTCACTATTTTGAATAAGATACTGTTATGTAGATACAAAAACTCTTTTATTACGTTAATAGAAAATCTATTTTATGTAAAGGCTGGTATTTAATTTATAAATATTGTATAGTTATGCTTGTATAAAAATTGCTTTTAAAATGTGTTTAACATATTTGTCACATCTGCAGTTACGAGAACGACAACTCGCGGTAACAATTATGGCACGATTTCTCGCTGATGTAATGTTACAAATGTTACAATTGGTAACCTTTATTAAACTTGTATTAATCTATATTAAGTTTACGATAAACACAACAAACAAAAGTTTTTATCATTTTAATTATCCGCGAGCTGTTCGTTTCACATACACAACCATATTTAATCTAGTAACTGTAAGCATTAAACACGATTGTCTTGGTACCTGAAAATATGGGTTTAGGTAGTTTTTCTCTTGCATGTAACGTAAGTTTACCATCAAAATGAAATTTTAATAATAATAATAATATGTAGTAGAAAATGACTGTATCTGTGAATAATGTTTTTGCGTATTAAATAAATGGTTAGATACAATATATTGGGCAAATGTTTTTTTTTTCTTCTTAAACTTTTAAATAGTTTAATCCTGAACCAAATAATTTCTTCTTCAATTCACTTGTTTATAAAGTATTATATTTTTTTTATACAACTTAGAATGGTAAACAAGCTGACGGTCCACCTGATGGAAAGCAGTAACCGTCGCCTATAGACATGAGCAGTACCATGGACATAACAGAGTATACTGTTTTGCCCATGATACCCCCCATGTGTTGCCATTCCTGAGGACTCTGGTGTTATTCCTCTGTACCCTGTAAATTCACGCTAAATCCCACCCTTCAAACTGAAACACAGCCATGCAAACACAACTGCTTCACGGTTGAAACACGAATGGGACAGAGGTACCCAAGCAATCGACTTTTATACAAAGTCTTCTTCTTCATAGACTATTATAAGAAACGGTCCCGAGCGCATTCATTTCCTCTTGGTATATTTGACAAGACTGTTCTTTTCTGAGATTCTTAGCAAAGAGGTCTTAGTAAATTTTGAAATCGGTTGAAAATTAAATACATTCTTGCTGCAAGTTTAAAAATGTTTGCTTTATATTGGGAGTTAGGTTAGTTATTTTTTGATGTTTAACGGCTTAACCGATAGTCATGAAATTTGACATACACTTAAAATTTTTTTAATGAGTGATAATGGTATGGTAATCCCGCCTGTGCTATCAGTATACACTGGCGGGGCATCAGTGATAGATGAAGATGAAAGCAGGTCAATTAGCCCATCCTGACGAATTTAACTAGAATTAACCACGAGGGGTTCCAGTCGAACCACATAGAGGTCGACCTAACAGGGTATATTGCCAGTAATAGGGCTATTTGACCTTATTACTAACAATCCCTTTCCCCCACACTTAACATTTTTTACAGGTATCTTTCAGACTTAGGTTTCAGGTTTCAGGATTTTTGGGTACTATTTATTTATTGTTATTTTTATTGATATTCGACTAAGTTATTACATTTTTACTTATTTCTATTTCCTTATTTCTAGTTGTTTACATTAACATTTATATTGCCGAAGTATACTCAGTATACTTATTTACTAACATAATTTCTATTTATTATTTTTTAATATTTTTATACTGTATTCTAGTACACTTAACATTTAGGATGGAGAAGGATATTAACTATATATTGTCCTAGTCAATTTTCATATTGCAATTAAATAGACGAAGTAAACTCCGGTAAAATTATATGTTTCGTGGCTATATATGGAATAGATATGTTGGTAAATCTAAAATTTCTGTAATTAGTCATGTATCCTATTAGAATCCTCTGAGTAAGTTATCCAACTATTTATTGGACCCGTTTTTGGTTCGTAGATCTTAATATATTCCACATAATGATATTAGATTTGGGGTGGGGGGGTATGCCAGTAGTTCCCATGTTTAGTAGGCGAGTTGCCAACCGCAATTTGGCTTTTGGTGATTTTTTAAGAGGGACGCTACTCTCCATCTCTCAACCTTCCCTTAATTGCCGTTTACACCCATGAGAAAGGAAGGGGCGGCCCATTCTACTTCGGGACCACATGGCAATTTATTCCTATAATAAGATTAGAAATTTTACTTTTCATCATATTTGGTCAATAAAAATATTGAATAATACCATTTAAATTTACTATACGTTAAATTGACCGTGTACATTTTAATTTGAATAAATTTTTATACAGTTAGAGTAAATTAAACACACTCGGGTTTATACTAAAGTTTTACTTTTTATTTTTACCTTTTGTTTTTCTAAATAAAACCAAGGAGTTTAAAGTATAATTCTTATGACGCATACTGTATAGTTATTATGAGAAAATTATGAGCTTCTATTATTGAGACGTTGGTTTGTCGACTTTTCGAATAACAACAGCAAAACTTATTTATACTGGCTGCAAACACTTCTAAATCATCATCATATCTGCCTTTAACTGTCCATTGCTGAACATAAGCCTCTCTCTTGGGGGGTTTTGCCAGTAGTTGTCACGTTTGGCAGACAGATTGGCAACTGCAATTAGGCAAAAAAAGAAAAAAATGGTATTCATAAAAACAAATATTAAAATGTATTAAAAATAAAATAAAATTATGTGTATACGCATTTTTTTAAAATAAATGTGGTATTCAGTAAATTTAATAAACTTATCTGATTACAAAGATAAAGGATAATTTCTGAGTTAAACGAGTACTTATTCGTAAAAAAACATAACGAACAAAAATTACGAATTGAAATATTCCATTTAATTGGATCCATTATCCCGTAATAATGTCTTTATATCATATAAAGAGACGGCAAAGTAAAAATATAACGAGGATATTATTTTAAAAGCTTATTCAATGCTTTACTGTTGGGTAAAGTCTTTCATCTATACTGATAAAGAGGTAAAATATGTTTCATGTGAGATTTTTAATCTATGGAAACAAGGTATTGATTTTAAAAAATATGGCAACTCGGCGATTATAGACAAGAAAAAAGTTGAAATATGAGGATACATTTTTAGAAATTTTTCGCAGAAAGGGCAAAGAGTAAAAAAAAATATAAGCATTTTTGATTAGATTCTAAAAATGGATTTTATGATATTCATACCAAAAAGAGTTTTAGTTACATTTCAATTGTAGTTTCATAATAAAAATGCGTGTTATTAAAATATTTTTGATCAATCTGTTGTGTGACTGAAAAATATACAAATTTATTGAGTTCGAATAAAGCTGTGATCAAACTCTTTCAAATTATACCAGAGGGAGACTTTGTACAAAAATTGATTGCTTGGGTACCTCTGTCCCATTCGTGTTTCAATTGTGAAGCAGTTGTGTTTGCATGACTGTGTTTCGGTTTGAAGGGTGAGATATGGCGTGAATTTACTGGGTACAGAGGAATAACACTTGAGTCCTCAGGAATGGCAACGCATGGGAGGTATCGTGGGCGAAATAGTATACTCTGTTATGTCTATGGTACTGCTCATGTCTATAGGCGACAGTTACCACTTTCCATCAGGTAGGCCGTCAGCTTGTTTGCCATTCTAATTTGTATAAAACATAAAACTAAAACAATTATAAATTAGATTATGAAATCTGCTTTCTTTAAGTGGATATTTCACTAAATAAATTATATTTCACTAAATATAATTAAACCTGGTAGTAGATTAAAAAATGACGATTTAAAAGTGTTTTAAATAAGTCTATTTTAATAAAGATTTGTATTTGAATCTCGTATTTTTTTTTAGTTTATTCGGTAGTGCGGTAGTCATTTAAAAACAGTTCTCGACTGCCTAATGTGAATAAGCTCTAAATGATATGAATACTAACAAGTATGTAATGTAGGGGCGTTTGAGTAAAGCATAAAGTCCCATATTTTAATTATAAACCTTACCTAAACTAAAGGAGCGTAAATAAAGTAGTATAATTATGCATAAAAATTTGTGTATTCACGTAATATGTTTTAGACTTTTTGCTTTGTCTGATGCTGATATGGTGGACTGGTAGATAACGCCGTCAAGTTAAGTCCGCCATTTTATACTATCTACTCGTAGGTATATTAAGGTTTAATAAATCATTTAATAGATCTATTTTGTTTTTTCAAATTAATAAAAATCATTTGAAAACACAGTCAATCAAAAATCCTATCATTTAAGATTTTACTCTACAATAAAATGTTACAAATAAATAAATAAATATTTACAATTCAAAATTAAATTCAAGAACTTAATTTTTATTTTATATTGTGTCTGCTATTGCAGGTGTTAAAAATTGCATTATATATATATATATATATATATATATAAATAATACGATTTGTGAGGTACTACGTAATACTAACTTTACATGGTATATGATATGGTAAGCCTCTTAGTGATAAATAGAAATGAAGCACTTACAGTTCATTTAATTTAGATATCATTCTATTATCAATCATATATTTACTTACTTTACTTTGTGTTTAATATATAACAAATAGTATAACATAAATACCCAACTTCTGTTAGTCCATTCACACTTATTTAACTATAGCTTCTTAAGGACTTCCATCAACAATAATTGTGATATATTTTATATAACGACCACGTGGTTTACTATACTTGTTCACTCTTGATTCGTCAGGGAGCTCCGCTCTGTTCAACGGTTGGACAAGAAGTGTCTCCCCACCCAAATGACAATCTTTTATATCCACACGGCCGAAATCGAGTAGACAAGTTAGTGAGACCACGTGTTCTTACAATTACATTACTTTTTATTTTAGTATCAATATAATAAATAATTATAAAATCAATTAAAATATAAATTAGTGTTCTATATACATTACAATAATAATTTATTACCAAATTGTCTATAATAACAATTTTAACATTTTATTGTAATTAAAGTAGTTAGTCTGATTTTTATTAATAAATGTAGGTACACATTTTGACACAAGATGTTTAAGAAAATTAATATAATTTAAAATAAATATTTAACACAAGCGTCTATAGGCTACAATGACTGTTTACCGTCAGACGGGCTATATGCTTGTTTGCCACCTTTGTAGTATAAAAAAAACATATAAGAACTAATAACATATAAATTTCAGACAGTATAATATCATCATTATCATATCAGATGTTAATTGTTCACTGCTGAAGGCAAGCCTCCACTAGATATAAGGTTTTTCTAGTAGTTGCCACGTTTGGCAGGTGGGTTCGCAACCGTAGTTGAGATTCGATGATGTTTTAAAAGAAACGCTGCAGTCCATCCTTCGACCATTAAGTTCCTTTAGTCTTACGATATCCACGAGAAAGGAAGGGGTGGCCAATTCTATGCCGGGACCACACAAAAGTTAGTCTAAGATAATTGTGATACGCCTGCGTATCAAAGTTCAAATTCATTAAATCTTCTATATGAATGCGTGGTTATTCAAAAACAATCGTGCAAAATCTTTGTATTATTACTATTATTATATAGTATAAAATAAAGTCACTTCCCGTCTGTCTGTCTCTATATATGCTTAGATCTTTAAAACTACGCAA